TATATATATATATATATATATATATATAAGTATATAAATAAATAAAGTTATTGATTAACATATAATACAACAAATCAATAAATAAATTAATAAACGAAATAAATAAACAAAAAAAATAAACAAAAACACACAGAAAAAATAAACAAAATAAACAAAACAAATGAATAAATAAACAAATAAATAAATAAACAAAACAAAATAAAATAAAATAAAATACATAAAACAAAACAAAACGAAACAAAACAAAGACAAAAACAAAACAAAACAAAACAAAATAAAACAAAACAAATAAAATAAAACAAAACAAAATAAAACAAAACAAATAAAATAAATAAATAAAACAAAATAAATAAAATAAAAATTACTTTTTGTCTCTGTAGATAAGCAAAAACAAAACAAAAGAAAACAAAAACAAAACAAAATAAATAAACAAAACAAAACAAAACAAAACAAAACAAATAAAATAAAATAAAATAAAATAAATAAAATAAAACTTACTTTTTGTCTTTGTAGATAAGCACACCCCAACGCAATACCCCTCCCTAGCTTAAGAGCGGTTATAAGATGAGGGTTTAGGGGGCCCCTCATTTTACTATATATATGGGGGCCCCCCTGGGGGCCCCCCGCTGCTGATGTATTGTTTCCTCCCCCCCCAGCACCGCTGCTGCTGCTGCTGCTGCTGCTGCTGCTGCTGCTGCTGCTGCTGCTGTCGGGTACTACAGTGGGTACACCACACATCTCTGCGAGGGCCCCCAAAGATACTGCAGCAGCAGCAGGGGGGGCCCCCGTACCCTCTTTTGCTGCTTGCTGCAGCAAATTCAGAACGGGGGGCCCCCCTGATTCTACTGTACCCTCATAGCTGGGGGGCCCCTCTTTGCTGCTGCTGCGTCGCCGCTGGGGGCCCCCCCCGCCCCCCTTTGGGGGCCCCTGAGAGGAAGGGTACTTGGGGGAGGAGGGGGGCCCCCCATACGCTGCAGGGGGGCCCCCCTCTCTCGAGTTTTTCTTCGTTGTTGAGGGTTTAGATAAGTAGTACCCTTTTTTCTTCAGGGGGGCCCCCTCTCTATAAGAAGAAGACACAGGGGGGCCCCCCACCTGTCTGCTGCTCTCTGCATGCACCCGCTCGAGGGCCCCCGCAAGAGCAACAGGAATAACACAGCAGGGTGGGGGGAGGGGGGCCCCCCCCTCCCCCTCATAGAGGGGGCCCCCCTCTCCTGCATAAGCATATGGTGGGGGGGCCCCCCCCAGGGGGGCCCCCCCTACATCTGTACCCTCTTCTTCTACTGAACCCTTTTCTTCTGTCTCTTTCTCTGCTGCTGATAAAGAAACACAGCTGGGGGCCCCCCCCATTCTTCTTCCTTCTAGGGGCCCCTCTGTCTTTGCTCCTAAACCCGAGGGTGAGGGGGGCCCCCCTAGGGGCCCCCGTGGGGGCCCCCCTAAAGGCCTAGAGAGGGTTGGGGGGCCCCCTGATATGTCTCTATGTGGGTGTAGAAGAGCAGCGTCTCCCTGCTGCTGCAGTGTGTGTATGGGG